TGGTCTCATTCCAACTTCTCATCCCCATTCCCCAATTAACTACATGCACTATAGATTGAGGCTCCATGCATACGTTTCTCTGTCAACCACATGCAATATATTATATAGGGACTGCAAGTTGAAGGGGTGTTAACTTGATATATATTATCGTGGCACCTAACAACTTAAGTTTTTGGGTAAAATATTAGTCTAACACTTCCATTTCAGGTATATGAACATCGAATTTATCGATATCTGGACAACCTTTCTGAACCATTGTCTTCAATTAAGAATGATGATCGGATTGTGGCCTATCGGTATTCTAAAGAAAAAGTAGCTTCCGGTACCAGACTTGAAATAATTCATCGACGGCAGGAAAAGTGAGTCTGCTTCCTTTATCTCTACCAGTTGAGTTTGCATGTTGGTAAACTTACAAATGTGAACTCTGTTTTGGCCCTGTACTTCTGAGGTTTAATTTATACGAGCAAAGAATGCCAATTTCATTGAAAAATCTAAGGCCCATGGAATTATTTTATATTTGTAAACCCTGTTAGATAGGTCATTAAGTATAATTGCTTAATCACCTAGGTTCTGCGTGTATCCATTGGATGGGCGCTTTTTCATTATTGTTTTTTCCTTTTTGGCTGAATTATTAACAAAAGTCATTGTCAATTTGCAGATGTGCATTAGATCCTCTGAAGGGTCAGAGAAAGCCTTTTGGAACACCTTTGGTTGCCTATCTAGGAGAAGACCAAATACGTGGTGTTGATGTTGATAGAGCTGTTTCTAGAATTCTTTCACCTTTGAAGAGAGCGGTTAAGCTTCATAGCACGAAAGAAAATGGATTAGTTTCAGAAGCCGTTGCTGAACCATCAAACAACCACTTTTTGAGGCCCACGGAGAACATAGAACTAGGGGAAACATCAATTGATGAGATATCCTTCCAGCTATTTTTAGCTGATGAGAGGGGTATGACCTGCAAACCAATTGAAAAGTCTTCATCCCTAAGTTCTGGTAAACTCATAAAGATATTTGTGGACTGGACTGACCAAGAAAACGAAGTATATGATGCTAGCTATCTCATGGATCTACCTGAGGTATACAAGAATGTGTTCACGGCGAAGAAAACTAGGCAAGAAGCTATTTCCTTATTTACATGCTTGGAGGCATTTTTGAAGGAAGAACCTCTAGGTCCCGATGATATGTGGTATTGTACTTATACCCATTCTAATGGTTTCTGTATGGCATTATTTACGATTTTCAGGCAAGTCGGTATCATTCTTGACATATGTTCTTGACTTTTGCAATACAGGTACTGCCCTAAGTGCAAGGAACATAGACAAGCTACAAAGAAACTAGATTTGTGGATGTTGCCAGAGGTTCTTGTTTTTCACCTGAAACGGTTCTCATACAGCAGATACTCGAAGAATAAACTTGATACTCTGGTGACTTTTCCAATTCATAATCTTGATTTGAGTCAATATGTGAAAAGCAAGGATGGAAAAGCTCATCTGTATGAGCTATACGCCATTAGCAACCATTACGGCGGTCTAGGTGGTGGGCACTATACTGCATATGCAAAGGTAAGACAACTCTAGCACATCTGATAATTTTTTATTTGAATGGTTTTTACACCACATATCGGCCAAGTATTCACATTCTTCACTAGTTTTATCTTCTACCAAAAAAGTTCTCTAATCTATCGTGCATCATGCTTCTTTCAAACTATAAATTTGGCATATGCCGTTAAGACGATATGGTTATCTGTTTGAGATCTAAGGTACTTTTACTCTCTCAATTTTGCAGTTGATTGATGAGAACAGATGGTACCATTTTGATGACAGTCATGTATCTCCAGTCAATGAAACTGATATCAAGACTTCGGCCGCCTATGTGTTATTTTATCGGAGAGTTAAAAGTGGACAGAACAACGGAGAGGCGGAGTCATCAGGGACTCATATGGAATCTTGAGCGTGGATCTAGTGCATCTTGCTATATTGCAGAGTTTTGAAGCTTCCCACCAAGTTAAGCAGACTTGGTGCAAGAATGGTGAGCACTATGGCTGGTTGAACATACAGATTGCACGACACTGGGCGTGTACCAGAGCCTATTACGAGGGGACGTTGCTGCACGACATGGCTGTTGGCACTAAGAACTCCATCTCATACAATATTTTTTTAAGAAAAATAGCCATTAACTTGTTGGGAAGGGTAGCAAATTATTTTCAGAACTTCCGTAAGATGTTCTTGTTATTACGTCTGCCATGATAGGGCAGTGCAATTGTAGACAGAAAATTTTTTGTACTGGAACACTGTAATACGCTGAACGAAGTTTGAAAGAGCCTCGTGTTTTACTTAATCGTTGCATTCCCGATGCCCCTTGTACGTTGGCCCTTATTCCACTTTTTCCCCTCAATAATTTCAATCGATGCCTTGTCCCCCAGACGTCATTTTTGTCACGATTCTTGGTTAATTTCATAACATACACCGCATAACTACATATGCAAGATAACGATAGGGTGAATTCTTAGGGGTGCCGTTTGATAATCATTTTGATTTCAGTTCTTTTTTTAAGTACATCGATTTTTTTACATTAAGGGGAGGGGGAGTTCAGCAAAGCCACACAATGGGTAGCCAAATTTAGTATCGAAATCGTCATCCACAAGATTCGAATTAAGACCTCTCAGTTCCAAGTGAAGAGGAATACTACCAGATTGCAGTACTGAGTGGCTTCGATTTCAGTTCTTGTTTTCATTGTTTCGAAATTTGAAAACTGAAATCCTGTTGGGTAGTACTGCTTTCTTGGGGCCGTTGGATACCATTTCATTTTCCGTTCATTTATTTGAAAACCAAAATCTTGTGTGGCAAATTTTTCCATTTAAAAGTAATAAAAATAACTGAGAACTACTTTATTGAGTATTCAAAATTTGGCCTTGAATTTTCACCTTTTGATTTTCAACTTTTATTTTTAAAATAAAGAATAAAAAATATTACTATTTAAGTTTTCAATTTTTAAAAAATTAAAAACGAAATAATCTAAAGTTTTCACCTATGTTGCATTTGCCTCTGGCTTACAAATTTTTCCTTTTATTCTGTTAACTTTATTAATAGCTGGAGGTATCTTTTCTTTTGGTTATTTTATCTCAAAGTATCCAAGTGGATTGTTTTTGTTTTTTAAATAAAGAAATTACTTAAAGTGAGAAACCTCACGAACAACTGCTGCCAGTCTACCTATACAATCAAACATAAGAGCAGGTATAGCCCTCGAAGGAAGGGTACAATTCTAAATATGCATATTAGAAAGGGATCAACCTACATTAGTCACAACATCAGCCACAAAATTTGCTTCTCGATAAATATGCTTCCAAGTCATGCAATAAAAGGAGGATGCCAACCAATAAATGTCCGCAATCGTGTCTCGAGTTCTCCAAGGTACCGTTTGGTACCTGGGACGGGACAGAACAGAATGGGACAAGACGTTCCGTCCCACATTTGGTGCGCCTAAAACGGGTGGAACGAGCTGTTCCACGGGATGAGTTTTTGGTGAATTTTCGTTCCACCTCACCCCTGGAACGACTCGTTCCACATCCGTGGAACACAAAACTATAACCTCTCCGTCTCCTTCTTCCTCCTTGTTTCCATCCGAGGGTATCTTTGCTCCCGCTCCGTTCCGTTCTGTCCTGTCCCGTCCTGTCCCGTCTGCATACCAAACGATACCCAAAGGTCCAAGGGACACACCACACCTTCCTTCGATATTATCTATAACTAGCTTAGAGTATCCCTCCACCGAAATTCAAGGAAAACCCCTCTACTTTGCAAGCTTAAGAGCATCTACAAGGACTTCAACCACCATTATAGGTCGTCCTTGTGGCCGTTAGTCCAAGTAAAAGAAACCCCAAAAGCCGGAAGAGAGACTTAAGTTACCATTGGGAAGAAAACTAGCAAAATTGTCCATATAAATTGTGTGTTTGTCTATCCCTTTTCCATTTAATATTCAAATGGATTATGAACCGTCAGATCATATGGTTTATTTTTTCTTTTTCTTATATTTTACTGCAAGAATATATAATAGATAAGGTAAAATACAGTCCACACAGTAAAAAAATACTCCAAGTACATCGGAAAGGTAATATGATTTACTACAACAAATACAAAAGTGGGGTGCCCTCCCCTCTAGCCTCTGCCTTCTAAAACGATCCTCAGCAACATGATTAAACCCTAATCACAATCCTCCCTAATCAACTAGAATTATTAAGACACTGAATGTAAATAAATAATAATTGTCCTGCAAAAGCCGAAAAGAGAGAAAAGTTAGGAAAAGACTTATTAAATAAGGTTTGGTACCAATTGACTCATTGAGTGCCACTTTCCCAACTAAAAAGATTAATAGCCACCCACCACCATCATCACCACATCATCACTTTCACTAAGTGGAGCCCCACACTATCTCAAATTATCAAGACCGATTTGATGACCATCAAGAAAATCTCACCTAATTGCATCTAGGGGTCTGGGGATCATTGGGAATTTTGTGTTACAAACGAATTTTATGAGCTACGCTAGCATCGGTCGCTCATCAACAAGTGCCAATTCTTGATCGTTAGCTTGCAGGTAGAGTTTACAATGCATTAAGTGTTAGGAATCACTAATTTGTGTTATAGTCAAATTTGAAGTGGTACGCTACAGTCAATCACTCATTATAAGTTGGACGATTTCTAACCGGTGATACATATGAACCGTCTATGTGAAAGTGGTAATTGCCAATGATGATGATAGTGGAGTAGAGTAATTAGTAAAAGGGTGAGTTAGTTTTACCTCTTTCCTAAATTTCCAAGTAACCTCTTCTATTTTCCTTTTTCTTTTTCTCTTTTCCACCGTCCATTTGAGCAACTTTAGATATTTTGCAATCAGCTTTTGTCCAACCTCAAATGACGTGTTTCATCAACAACGAGACCACTAACCACGTCATCGGAATCCCCCCAATCACATCCCATCTCTCCTGAAAACAAAAAATACCAAAAATTAAAAAACATAATTCCATTTTTATCACATGCCGGATGACGTCGTATTCACCGCCACGTCACTATTAAATCGACCTCAATCAAATTCAACGAGACCACCGTCTCCGGTGATTATAAAGGATTTGGATCTCTCCTGAGCCAAGGTGAGAATCTTCCTGATCAAGAGACATGGATTGTTAATTATAAAAGATTTGAATCTCTCCTGAGCCCAAGGAGATCAAGACACATAGATTGTTGAATTTTTATTTACCGGTTACAAACAAAGAGTCTCTTTAAAATTATAATAATTATAACCGTTGAATTTTTATTTAACCGTTCACATATCTTGATCAGGATGATCCTCTCTTTGGACTCACGAGAGGATCCAAATCCAATTATAAAATCACTTCTAAATCTTATCAACGAATGAACGACCACTAACGAATCGACACCTGTCCAGTTTACAACTATCACACTCTTCACAGTAAGGTAAAGTTGGGAGGACTTACTGTGGCCGGGGCGGAGGAAATGGACAAGTATGGCGTGCCGGAAAAATCCGACGGGGATCTACCGTTACTAATCGGGTTCACCTGTCCCTGGCCCGAACTCGAACCCGAACCCGAACCCGAACTCGAACTGGAGTTACCAAAGGAAATGTTGCCCGCCGCGAGGCCGATTGAGTACGCAGGCGACCCGTCGGGTTTAAAAAGCCCGAAATTCCTCTCTGAACTCGGGCCGGGTTTCATGTTCTCGTTGAACAGAGCGAAGACGTAGATGTTGAGATCCGACCCGGGCCTGAGCGGCGTTCCCTTCTTCTGGAAAATGAGCTTGATCAGATTCCCGTTGTACTTCTTCGCGTTCTCCGGCGTCGCTCCGGCCTCGTCCTCGTCTCCCTTCGACGGCCACCCGGTCTCGGAGATGTGGACCGGGAGCTTCTTGAAACCGAGGGAGCCCAGGGCGGAGTACACGGCGTCGATCTGGGCGATGAGCATGTTGTCATAGTGGAGATTGGTGGCGGGATCGACGGAGCCAGAGTTCGGCTGGAAGAGGACGTAGTCGAGCGGCACCTGCTTTGGATTCGACTTGTAGGCGAAGTAAGGGTAGGCATTGATCAGGAATGGCGATCCGGTTTTGGCGTGGAAATTGAGGATCGGAGTGATGCAGCTAGTCAGATCTCGGCGGAAAGCGCCGGCGGAGGGCGGAAACGAGGTCTCGAGAATGGAGAGGGAGTGGGCGGTGGTGACGGCGACTTGCTTATCGAGGCCTAGACCAACGAGGGCGGAGTGGACGCTCTGCATTGCCGGAAGGAGGTTGTTGCTCAACGACGTGTCGTTGAGGGTGAGGACCTCGTTGCCGACGAAGATGCTTGTGATGTTGGTGGCGGGGAGGTGGGCCTGGACGTTGGACTTGACCCAGGATTGGGCCTGGGCCGGGGCCTGGACCTTGGAGAGGTACTCGTTGGGGAGGCCCACTATGAACTCGACGCCAGTGTTGGCGAAGGCTTTGAGGACTTTGGGATCGGCGTCGTACAGCTTGATCTTGGAGATGCCGATGGACTTCACCAGCGGAACGACGTCGTCCGGTGACGGTAAGTTGTTGGCGATTTGGCCGTAGTTTATTCCCATTGAATTTACCGTTTCTGGAAACATGAACCCTTTTCAAAAACAAAAACAAAACAGTGATAAAATGTTGTAAATTCGCTGACCAAAATTCAAAATTTTCAAAAAAGATTGGAACTTTGGAAGTAAATGGGAAAATTGGGAGCTGGGTTTTACCTGAAATGATGAGGACTGACAGGAAAATTGCAGAGGGGTAGGGGAAGCTGGTGGTGGCCGCCATTTTGGAGCACACTGCACAGCTTGGAGACTGAAAAGGGAAGAATGTAGCAGCTGCAGCAGCTCCAAATTGGGCAACAATGGAGAGAGAGAGAGAGAGAGAGAGAGCGGGGCAGCAGTGAGGGGAGAGAGAGAGGAGTGATATATAGAGCTGTGAGTTCACTCTCTGACACTCACTGTCAGAAATTCAGAAATGAGCTGGGCACTGAAAGGGCACAATGTCCAATGTAGACACGCAACTGTGAAGTTGAGAGAGAGAGAGAGAGAGAGAGAGAGAGAGAGAGAGAGAGAAGATTAGATTTCAGTTCGTAGACGGTTAGATATTAAGATCATCTCTAACCGAATGAGAGATAGATGACTCGTTTTAGCCTTTTAGTTCACTAAGAATTTAATATTTTAATGAACAATATATGACTATATTTCTTATCATCTTCAACCGAAGCATTAGAGGACTATAGGCCAAACAGAGTCTTGTGACAAAAAATCATCTCCAACCAAGGACCAAAAAGCTATAGTATGGAATGTGAAGAATTGAAATAAAATGAGGTAAGATAATATGGAATGGTAAAAAATATATGAGAAATGATGTAGGAAAAAATTAGAAATAAAAAAAAAAGGTCCAAAAAAAAAAATAAAAAAGGGGGGCTAGCCAGCGAGCTAGTTGAAGATGGCTAGCCGGTTGACCCTTTGGCTTTTTTTTGGTCTCGCGGGGCACACAAGCCATTTGGCTTAGCCCTCGGTTGGAGACGGTTTTCAAGTTATTTTCGGCTCTTTAGACCATTCAGTCTCCAACCGAAGGTTGGCCAGAAGGCTCGTTTAGCCCTTTAACCCTCCAAGATATTAATATTTTAATGAACAATACATGATCATATTTTCCTCCATTTCCAACCGAGTGTCAAAGGACCATAGGGCTCGTTTAAGCCCTGTCACAAAAAAAACGTCTCCAAGGGCCAAAGGGCCAAACAAAATTTTATTATTTAAATTTAAAAACTACAACAACTTAAATTTAAATATAACAACTTAAATTTAAAAACAACAACTTAAATTTAAAAACTACAAATTAAATTCATAAAAAAAAAAATAATAATTTGGCCCAAAAAAAAAAAAAAAAAGAATCCAAAGGTAACTAGACGTTGTATTTGAAATTTTGTCCCACCATTCCCGTATGATATAACTGATAGGAATAAGTACAATGCTATCGGATATAACCAACATGAATAATGAAAATTCTGGCTCGACCCGAGACTGGCTGGTTGGCTGCTTTGGGCTAGCCAGTTGGCCCTTTGGCCCTTTTTTATCCAATGGGGCCCACGAGCCCTTTGGCCTATCCCTCAGTTGGAGACGACTTTTGGGCTATTTTCGATCCTTTAACCCTCTGGACCCTTCGATTGGAGATGACCTTAGGGCTTATAGGGGCAACAAGCACTAGAGTAAAAAGTGAAAGAAACTGAGGATGTGATCCAACTTTAACCCCGTTCCAATTTGTCATTTGTCATGCGTTTTAATTTTTAAAATTTGTATTACACGATTGATAATCAATGCGAAACCAATTCACGTCACTAAAGTATTATTATGTGTTTAATTTTCTTACGTGACATGCATTATTAGTTCAAATTACCCCAACAGTATTAGACGGATAGACAAATCCTTAAGTTTTAGTAATAGGAGGGGTTGAAATTACAATGGGGACCAAAAGAATAAAAGGCTATCTACTTTTGCCGTTTCTGATGAAGAAAATGTATGTGGGTGTGTGATTTGTGTGAGCTACTTTGATTCTTCCTTCACATCCATGCTATGATTCATGCAATGGTGTTGGCGTTTTGCGATGGCGATGAGGTTTTTGGTGGGGACCAAATAACTGTTGTCCGACAAGCTTCACATGATCCCATTCCCAATCCACTCAATGTGGGAGGTCTCAGACCTCAAACATTCGAGTTCAACTCATTGTTGCGTGAAAGGTAAGAGTGGGCAAATCACAGATTTTACTTTAAGAGGATTTGTTTCGGCTTTCTTCTCGTTATGCTATTGCTCGATAATTGAAACTGTCTATTTAAGTTTGTTAAAAATCAATCAAATTTGAAATTGTTTAGTCATTTAATACGTACTCAATAAATAGACAACTATGTTTCCAATTATATATTGAAATTTTGACAACAATAACTGTATAGCAAGCGGACAATTCTGATCACCGTGCAACATTGCAAAATGAGAAACAAGTCGAGAAGGTAGAGCAAGAAAGTCCAGGAGAAAAGATCGGTAGCATCCCTTACTATAATTTTCGATTGACCTTTTCTTCTCCTCGCTTCTTTTTAATAAAGGAGATGTTACTGTTAGGCTGTTGCCGTTGGGATTTCTTTCAGGGTCGAAGAAAAACGGCAAAGAGAATTGCCGAAGGGGACAAAGATGCGTGGCATGCATGCCAAGCAAAGCAAAAGCGGCCGGTTCTGGCTGCTTGCGGGGAATAATAATCTTATCTCCTTTATCTTCTTCCACTCTTTGTTTTGCTTTGCTTTGCTTTGCTTTGCTTTGCTTTCATACGCATGATTTAACAATTCAACGGCCGCAAACAAACATGAGATGTTTGCTGATCCACATGTCTCACTGCTACGTAAGTCTAATGTCTTTTCTCCACCATGTCCATGCACTTTTCACAATTAGTTCCATTTAAATACTTTGGGGTATCTATCTAATCTATTAGCGACGATTGTCTGACTAAGATAATTCTAACACAGAGAGAAGCTAGTGTGAAATCGTGTGTGATGAAATTCAAGAAACCCTATACTTTTGTCAGAGTTGTCATACGAATGATGTGATCAAAATGCCCTGTACAAATTTTTCTGTTTGGTCTATATGTTCACTTCCCCTAGAGCATCATCATGCTTGTTACTGAAATTATTACCTGGAGCAATTGGATTGATTACTTGAGTCCTAATTTACTATTATTTTACCTTCCACCATCATATATACCCTTTTGTTAGTGCTTTGATTTTGTTTCCATTGCAAAAATGTTCTCTTGATTCTGTTTTTTGTGTGCTTTTCGGGTGCTCAATGTATAAAATGGATTCGAAACACTTGGATGATCAAACAACTTAGCTGTGATTGAATTTGGACTGTTGGATCCACCAGAGGAATCTGATCTCTCAGTAATAGGCCTTGTTGAGAGACTTTCTCTGACTCACTCGCATGTCTTACTTCAAAAGTAGACATACACCTTTATGAAAGAGGAAAATCTCAAGTGTTACCGGATTTATATGTGATGCGAGATAATAACACATGGGTTTATATGCCGTTGTGACACAGTACAATCTCTACACAGCTTATCAGAGACCACGCTATTAGTAGCTAAGATTCCACAAAAACATCGTCATTGTGTTCTAATGTCTGTAATGACATGGCAGGATGACCAGTTTTGGCTTAAATTTGTGTGGTCTAAGCAGCTCTAAGTTTGTTTGGTTCTTAATCTTTTGTTACATTTGTACATACTGAGTTGTTATTCAACAATCGGTTGTAATCTCTTTACAAGAAGCAACGAGGTACCCTCTCTTGTTCGGGAATTAATGCCGAAAATTACACGAATGCATCAAAATCTTGTATTCAGATGACATGTACTGCAAGCATACAATAGGAAGAGAATAAGAACCCTACAAGTGATCTGCATTTTTTATTTGCCTGCAAGACGTATAAAACGTACAAGAACAAGGCAAGAACAGAAAAAACTTGTTGTCCAACTCTTTACGACCGCAGCAAAGCCGTGGCAGATTCATTATGTTATTCAACTCCGCGAACTTAATTGACAGAATAAAATCTCTTGGATTTCCACCACCAAGCATATGGCTCTCTCTTGCAGCTGAAGGTTACACCAACCACCAGCCGTTGCCACAGGTGGAAGTTAGCATGCTAGCTTATACGTTAATATCCGAAACCTAATGCTCTAGGGAGTGGCAATATTTTCCTTGGCAAGAGGAGCAATCTCTTCTCCTTCAAGGCCTTGTTCGTTGCCACCAACTTCCAGGCTCAACAGCAACTTTTCCCATTGTTTCGAAGGTCCCTGAACGAAACACAACACTTTTCAATTAATGTTCTGATTGCAGAACCAAAAATTAAACTCAACTTATTTGTCTCGACGAGCTGCTTAGCAACTCCGTGTTAAACTAACCTTCCACGAAAGATCTTGGGCCATGCAGTTCTGGATCATCTCATTCAACGCAGGAGTACCGTAAGTTGCAACAGCTCTTTTGACAGTAGTAGCAATTGCAGTTACATCTGCTGGATCAACTTCGTCACACTAAAAAAAAAAAAATCAAACGAGACAATTCATTATTATGATGTTATATAAGTAGGGCATAGAAAAGAAGTAAAATTGTGCATCTTAGATGCAAGCCAAGCGTTGACTTACTTCGACGTTGAAAGCTCCCATTTGAAATCCAGTAAAACCTTCTTTGACAGTGTCGACAAGTCCACCAGTTGAGGCAACAATAGGCACCTGAAGTTATTGCATTCATCAGTTTAAGACATTGGCGGTGCAAATATCAAATGAGAACAAAGTGGGAGTGATCTAGCTCCTTACCGTTCCATATCTCATAGCATGCAACTGAATGAGACCGCAGGGTTCGAATCTACTTGGGACCAACATAAAATCAGAACCGCCAATGATCATATGGGCTAGCGAGACATTGAATTTTGCAACTCCTACAGCCTTGCCCGGATATTTGATCTCTAGTTGTTCTATCTGCGTCTCCATGTACTTTTTGCCGGTCCCCTAAAAGAAAGAACATATCCTTCGATCAAACTATGCCTACTGCCAACAGAAAAGTGCCAAAGGAAGCAAACTCAACAGATACTTACAAGGACTATTATCTGCACGTCCTCCTCCCCGACAAATTTCGAGATAGCTTCTACTAGAATATCCGACCCTTTCTGCTCCTCTAGCCTACCAATGAATCCGATCACAGGGATGTTCCTGTCAACTGGCAACCCAACTTCTGCTTGAAGAGCCTCCTTCACCAGAGGCTTTGCATCCAGTACCTAAACATACAATTCTGATCAGTAAAATGGTTTCTTTTCCTGCCCCATTCTTCAAGGAATTAAAAATCCTTAGGAGTTACTCACAGTTGTGCTATCATATTTGGTATCTAAGTATTTGTCTGTGGCCGGATTCCACTCTTGTACGTCCATTCCATTCACGATACCAGTGATGCCGGTCTTGCGAATAATGTTATCCAATTCCAC